CCAACCAAAAACTACTGCGTAGAATTAATTGGAATTTTTCACACACAAGCCTTGCTATATGAGCTCTCAAAGCATATAAAAATTATACGGCTTAAATGTGAAGTTGGGTGCAAAAGAATACAATTAAATCCTCTGTCGGGATAAAACGAAATGACTTTCCGAACGACCCGATAGATGAAGGAGGTTATCAATGGATTTTGCGCTAGAGTCCCTTAAAGGGCCTTAACACTCCATTGCAAGCAGGAACGTTTTCAGTATTACATCAAACTTAATCCATATTTAGAGAATTTTGCTTAAATACTATTATAGCGAATACCAACGGTTTTAACTGCTCTTCCAACTTTCCTCCACAATCCAATTAACCTAAAGAAGCAATACCAAAGGGGACTGACTCACCCCTACACAGGGATGAGACTATTTAAAACTAACCTACTTCAATTTCACAACAAAAGAAAGTCGTAGTTCTTAGGCTTTCACGGCCGGCGTCTATCGATGCTGTGTTTTCTTAGCGGGCTTTTTGGCCGTTCTCAAAAACGGGTTTACCCTTCTAAAACTGCATCAGTTATGACTCAGCACCTGCCCAGTTACCACTGAAGATGCCGTCAGCAAAGAACGGCGAAACGCCTGGAAAAGCAAGATTCCACGGACCACGGCCAAAAAGTCCGGAAGATAACACAGCATCGAAAAGAAAATCGCTTCGATTAATACGAAAATATAATTCACCAACCTCATGGTGTAGCCAAATCTTTCATTTTGCGTAAATAAAAACTAAAACGATGCACTCAGAGGGAGAAACATGCCACTATAGTGGACCCCGGAAAAACTTGTATCATAATATACTATATGTACCCTTCTTTGATCCGCACATCATGTATGTTCTGCGATTCCCGCCATTCGATTTGTACCCAAACCTCTTGATACCATTCCAAATAAATCGCATTCCTGATCTTTATTACTAATCGATGCGTGACCTGATATAAAACAACTCTATGATTTCGTAACAAAATTTATGATTATTTTCAATACTTTGTTGAGCAATATCCGTACAATATATTTATTTTCAATAAGTCTTTTGTGTTCTTGTACACGTTTTTTAAAGGAGTGAACTGTCTGGCCAATATGAACAGTTCTGAAATTCATGCAAGATATTTCATAAACGTTACCTTTACACGACCTCTTTATTTAAAACTGTGTCACTCACTCAGATTTACGTACTAAAATGTGCTAAAATTAATCCTGTATTAAATATTGGTTAATAGATTTAAAAAACGGTATTACTGCAGGTCTACATGCCTACATCATCTTACAGTGATGAAGACGTGGAAGCAGTTTATGCAGATATAGAAGACGTGTTAAGTTTAGTGAAAGGGCAGAAAAACCTAATAGTTGTAGAAGACTTCAACGCAGTAATAGGCGAAGGTGAAGTGGGTGCAATAGCAGGTTCTTTTGGATTAGGCAATAGAAATGACAGGGGAGATAGGCTGATAGAATTTTGCGATGAACATAACTTAACCGTCGCGAATACTTTATTCGACCATCACGTTAGAAGGCGCTATACGTGGATGATGCCAGATGATTTAGGCAGATATCAGTTAGATTACATACTTGTTAGGCAAAGATTTAAAAATCAAGCGAAGGACTGTAGGAGTTATCCAGGAGCAGATATAGATAGCGATCATAACTTAGTTATTATGAAGATCAATCTTAAATTGAAAATTCTGAAAAAGAAGGAAGTTAGGAAACGTCTTGACTTAGAAAAGCTAAAATGAAACGAAGCACGTGATAGGCTAGGTAAAAGGACAGACGAAATACTAAAGGCGGCGGGAGAAACGAATGACAGGGACATAGAGACAGAATGGAATTGCATTAAAACGTGCCTAAAGTCAGCAGCTACAGATATATTAGGTCTTAAACAAAACGAAAGTAGGGAACCCTGGATAACAAATGAGATTTTATGATTAATAGAAGAAAGGCGGAAATACTAAACCAGGATAGACGAAGGACAAAAAAGATATAAGGCTATAAAATGGGAGATAATTAGGAAGTGTAGGGCAGCTAAGGAACAGTGGATTGATAGGATGTGTAAAGAAGTAGAAGAAACGTTTGAAGTAGGTAAAACCGAATAGGCGTATAATATAATTAAAAGGAACTTTAAAGATGTAGGGTACAGTAGTAATAATATAAGAAACGAGGCAGGGGTCTTTTTGATAGAAAATGAGGAAAAGGCAGATAGGTGGAAAGAATATTTAGAGAACCTGTATGCAGTCCCTGAGTTAGGAGATATATTAGAGAAGGAAGACAGTTTGGAGATAGATGAGCTAGGTTATCCCATAATGAGAGAAGAGTTCGATGTAGCATTAAAAAACTTAAACAATAATAAGGCGCCAGGTGTAGATGGGGTACAGGGGGAAATTCTAAAACATGCAGGACAAGGACAAGAGGTTAGAGATAGTATGTTTAAGCTAGTTAGTCACATTTACGAGAAGGGGAAAGTTCCAGAGGATTATAAACGGAACGAGATAGTAACCATACCTAAAAAGAAAGGCGCGGATAGGTGCGAGACATTTATAACAATTAATTTAACTTCACATGCGTCAAAAATCTTAACTAGAATTGTACATGTGGAAAAATTAGGAAAGCAGAGGACGCTGTAGAAGTCAATAAGGGAAAGGAAAACTCCGACAAAACATAAAATTTAAAACAGTAAACTTTCAACATCTCCCCCTCGAAATAATTTTTGGCTACGGGCCTGAAAAACATTAATGACATGCATAAAATTGAAGCATCACAATTATGATTTACAATAAAACACATTTTTTTCAAATACATAATAATTTATTTTCATTTACTTAAGTACTGTTATTAGCATCGTTGCTTATGTATTTTAATCCCATGCTGCCCAAAATATATGCCATAAATATTTAAAAACCTCCGTTCTGTTATTTAAAAGTACATTTAAGGCTACGAGAAAAACATAGGGTATTATTCGAGTTATAAGTAAAATTATTAAAAATATGGTTTCAATAATAGATCTACTTTCATGTACTAAATCTACACCCTTCTGATTTGCTTTATTTTCCAATGTAAATTCTTTGGATTCTGCATCAGAAGTCGGTAAAATTGTATCAACACCTAAAAAGATTATTTCTTGTCAGTATTTCACTTAAAAGCAATTATGAAACAAAAACCTTTACCTTCGCAATTGATTTTTTGAAATATTAAACATAACACTGTAATTATTAAACACAATGTCACGCTGAACTTCTTCATCACTTTTCCACTGGTTTATTGATCGATATCAGTAGTCTATCTAATTGTCGTACACCACTATTATTTTGCTGAAAATATTAAATATGATGTAAATTATTACAAATATTTACAAGGATGATACGAAAATTTTGAGATTTCGTCATTGCAAATATTAAAGACTTTCCTCTAATTTTTATCAGCTATCAGTCAGGTTTTTAGATAAGTTTCACAATCAAAATACTATTTTTCAGACATACGTAAATGCTATCTTTGTAAAATATGCAAATACGAACTTTATATTGTTTAAAAGATCAAAAAACTTTTATTTTAATAAATATTTTTAATCTTTCCAAACCCCGAAAGAAGTTTACTGTATTTATCTTTCAATTAAATATAATTTCGGCTAATTAATAATTAATTTGACTATTGATTGACTTTCCCTTACAGTTACTAATTCAATTTCATTTCCTTGAATATATATGCTTTAAAAAAAAATGAGTAGAAACTAGTAGACTTATTTTGTATTATGCAGATCATAAATTTAGGTCTATCTCTACTCCTCTTAACTCCTGTTACTGCCTCTAATATGTCTCTGACTAGATATTCATGCTTGAGAAGGTGCCCTGCCAACCTATCTCGCCTATTTTGAATTTCTAAATTGGTTGTTTAAATACGTACCGAAATACAGTAAAATCAAAGTCTGTTTCAATTTGGATAGTTTTAAAGTCACATTCTATTTCGAAATACTACTACTGAATTTTTAAATAGCAGACTAAATTGGCTTAGTTTTCATCCTAGTAGTTTTTCAAAATAGAATGTGACATATTAATATGAAAATTCATTTTTAATTTCAATCTCACTACAAACTACCTCAAGTTAATAAGGGAAAAAGTGGTTAGAGCATTGGTGCGTAAAGCCAAAGATCCTGGGTTCGATTCCCGGCACTGGTGTGACAACAGCAACAAATTTTTCCTTCATGAACTTGAGGTAGTTTGTAGTGGGATTGAAATTAAAAATGAATTTTCATATTAATATTTGATATTAAACCCTATTAAATGTCAAAGTGTTTCATAGAACTGTTCAAATTGAAACAGACTTTGACTTTGCTGTATTTCAGTAGGTACTTCAGCAAACAAGTCATATCCTTTGGCAAATTTATGCAAAAATTCTTCCTGTCAGATCTAGTCAACGAGGACTGATAATACTTCTTCGTACATTTTTTTTCTTACGCTTTATTGAGGTTTCGTTAAGTCTCTTAAAAGAGTTATTGGAATAAAGAATAAAGTTGACGGATTTTATTGGAATTAGGTTTACTGATAGAATTAGCAATTTCCAACACAAGAGTACTTAAAATTTTATAGAAATGTCTTTAGGAACACCATTCTTGGACTATTTGAGATACTTTTTAGACCCGGCGATAAAGTGCATATTAATTAACCGTAATAGAGCCACTTAAGGCCCCATATCAGTCGTTTCTAGACAAATGAGAATATTAAATGGATTACTGTTGATGTAGACAAGTTAGAAGAGTGGTCAAGGTCTCAAATCAAAGCTCTCATTATTATCTACACAAGTGCGAAACGCTTTTTTTTAATGTACTTTTCGTTTCTGTGTTATTAAAAAAAATCGGTTGTCTGTAAAGTCGGTTTACTGACGATAGTTGAACGTGACAACGTCATAAGAAAATACTGATGGAATGATTTCATTTTTCAAAAGAAAATTTTAATTTTATTTGTTTGATAGATATTTTGTATGGATATAGAGAAGGAGGTAAATGGAAATGTATTATTGTATAGCAGCTGTCCACGCGGACGCATCGCTCACTCAAGTAGGAGAGAGACAGATGTCGAACGCTGCCGAACGCGGAGGCCGATTGTGCCTCTTTGTCGCTCGTTCCGCGCTCTCGCTTGCACTTCAAGCCTTAAATGGAACGCCTCAGAGCGAGGTAACGCCGCATGAGTCATGTTTTTTCGTGGGTGCAGCCGGCTCCATCGAATTATAAGACGTTGTCACGTCAAAAAATTAAAACTTATTTAATAAACTCCATCCACAAGTAATGAGTTAGAATCTTCGCTTCGAACAAATGATAGTTTAGGATTTTCTTAAGAAAAATACGAAGTCTCATTTCTGTTAGACGTTAAACAAACACTTTTACAAAAATAAAAGCCACTTTTTGCAGTTTATTTTATTATTATTCTGTACATTGACAAGTATTATTATTTTATAAAAATCAAATTGAAGAACTTACGTTAGGAATTCCCAAGCTACTTCAATTACTTTAAGACTGTACTTTATCATTTCCGTGTAATTATTTAAGAATACATTTAACGCGATGAGTGCGATGTAGGGAATAATTCTAATAAGAAGTCCAATAAATGAAAATATTGATCTATTTTCAAGGGCTACCCGTGCTCCTTCAACAAGTTCAGTAAATGTCCTCTGAAAGGCTTCTTTGTTTGGTTGAAGTCTATCGCTTAGAAACACGCCACCATCTTCAACGCCTACAATTTTTTTTTGTAAAATTACATTAATAAATCTATATTGTCATGTCAAAGTATTTCTATTTAAAGTTAACACTTACCCCTACATTCAACGCCATAGTACATTAAACTTATGGAGATGAAGACGAAAAGCGCTAAAATTCCTGGACTTCTCATTTTTACAAATACGCAGCTACCTACTACCTATTTCAACATATAACTAAAACTATATCATAAGTGTTGGCGGAATATATCCGAGAAAAGAACAATATCTTGCATGTGAATTAAATATTTGCAGAATATTAAAAAAAACAGAAACAGTTAAGATAACACCACGATGAAACAAATAAATACCTTTACCTTACGTTTTTCAAAAATGAAACTTTTATTGTATTTAGCTAATGACTTTGTTATTCGAAGTTATCAATTATTTAAATTGACCATAAAACAATCTTCAAAAACGGAAATAATTACAGGGTATGTTCCAAAAAAAGATTAAATACAGTAATAAAAAAGTATTAATGAAAGAAATTAAAATGTATCCAAATTATTCAACCGTCCAAACAGTTTTATGCGTAATATATGTTTGTCTATGAAATCGTAACTAATCAATTAACCATCTGCTATTAATAAAGTTTATCAGTTTGGGAGCGGAGGACCAAAGAACAGGCAGAACCCCATAAGTCCACTGAAATCTGAAAAATGCCCATTATAATGCGTTTTGTATCATTCGCGCACACCCCATAACGCTTTTGTTTAATTATTAGATGAAGGATGCTACCTATTTTGCGCTAAAGTCAATTAGGGCCTTAGCACTCCATTGTTAGCAGGGCCGTTTCCAGTTTTACATGAAAATTAATACATATTAAGAAAATTTTGCTTAAATACTATTGAAGGGAATGAGACGATGAGGATAGGGAATAAAGTCGGATGGAAACCAACTTTTTTGGTTGAATTGCCAACAAAAAGAAAATGTTGCACAAATGAAAGAATGAAACTTTATTCAAAACATTTTTACATCGTCAATTATTATTTTTCCAACGGAAACATTATGCATCACAAGAGTTGCTAATTGTTCTTACAATCACCATTAAATTAGTTAAAATTAAACACCAATTCGAGGAAAAGGCGTAATAAATAACCGCAAGAATATGTGGAATGAGATTGACTATTGCGTCCCAGTTGATGTTTATACCGATCGATCTTGGAATGCTACTTCGCAGAATATCAACCACATCCTGTGTTATTCCTTGAAATTGATTTTTAGCAGCCAACTGAATCAGATTCGGTTCCGATCTCTTTTGCAAAATATGTTCGTCAGTAGCTAAAAATCAAAATAATTGAGAGTTAGAGTAAGAAGAAAAATATAATGTACTACATTAAATTTAATATAAAAAAGATACACTAAATGTAAATTTCAACAGACGCGTCCGCAATGACGGTGGTATTTAGGGAGAGTCTCCTTTATTTTATATATTCCTTTACGATAATCTAGAATTGGGAAAACTCATGCAAAGATAAGTGGTACAGAAGAATGGCATTATTTTATTATTGAATAATCTAAAGTCTAATATTTTATGGGGTAGCAATGTGGAAATGGAAAGAGTTTAAAAATATAGAAGAAGAAATGCATAAAGTGGATTTTAAACATAGAACAATGTACAGGTCCGACGAAGGAAGCTGGCGAGCGGTCGCGCAGGTACTTGCCCATTTATGACCTATTTGGGTAAGTCACTTGGAAGCGATACACAAATAAGCTTTCAGTAGGCGTAAATTATAGTATCTACTAATACAGTAGCGTACTAGAAAATAATGTAGAAACATAGCTTACCAAAAAGAAAAAAATAATTGTCTTTGTTTCATAGTTAGTTTTCACATTCACTGTCATGATGGTAATCTCTATCAATGTCACCAACATAAACAATTAGTTCTTTTGTTTGTCTGTCTATTACTTGCTCACTGATCCCTATTTTTAAATATCTAATCTACGCCCCTGATAGGAATACTGAAGAACGAGGGCTGCAATAGTTATACCTAAAACTGCCTACTTTTGCCACCGCGTATCCACGCCATTTTAAAATTTCCGCCAGCTTGCAGCGTCAGGCCTGTACACCTGATTATATTGTAAAAAAAGAAACAAAACGTGATAAGATGGTTGAAGAAATAAGAAGAAGAGTAGTAAGATACGAAAAAAAAAATAAGAGGACTGTAAGAAGAAGATAGATATAAGAAGAGAGGTGTGGAAAAAAAGTAGTGGGAATTGCTATGGAGAACATATATGCTAAGGAGATGGAAAAAGCCCTAAAAGAGATAATGGAGAAGCAACTAGACCAATGAAGAAGAGAAATAATGGATACAGGGAATATGGTAAAGAAAAGGAGTTACGAATTAACAATGGGGGATGACTTAAGGAGTGTAGAGAAGTCGAAATATGCGAAAGGGTTGAAAGAATTTCTGTAGGATGAGTGGCAAGGAGACTTAATACCGAAATATACGAGACCAAAAAAAGGTATACGTTCTTATCGAGATGCCATTGGAAAAAAGAAATATGTAAAAATGCCGCTCAACTGGAGTGAGTGAAGGGGAACTCGTTTATGAAGCTACATTTAAAAAAAAGCGAATCCCCCTCTAGGATTATTTCTGGATCCGGCTCTGTAGAAAAATACAACAATGAGGACTAATTTTCGTTCTATTTGTTAATAAAAAAATCGACTCATGTGCAACTATTAATCAATCAAACTACATGACGTAAAAGTATAATTATAATTTAAATAAACATAATTTCCTATCATTTCCATTGCCTAATCATTTCCCATAATTATTTACATATACATCTTGTAATTACAAATTCCTACCATTTGCATGACAAAGTTGAATACGTGACTGACACACTCCAAAGAAAAATTACTTATTTCTCTTAAAAAATTTAAGTTGCTCATTTATACGGAATATAAATAAAATTAATTAAGTAAATTAAGTGTTATAAAGTTTCAATCAGTACTTTGAATCGCAATCCTTTTAATCAGATAATTTAATATTGAATTCTAACTCCAGTATTAATTTGAACATTTGAGTCAGTTAAGGTTTGATGTTTTGTTTTTAATTATTGTTGTTTGTATTTGCGACAACTGTTTCGCTTTTCGGCTGTAATAAACAAATGAACACTGCATCGAGAACAAATAATGAACAATTTGCAAACAACCCTCTTTTATACACTTATCTTCCCCTGCCTTTTCGAAGTAAAACTACTTAGAAATTTGGGAAAAATAGGTTCTATTCAATAGGATATTTGACAATAATCAATGATAAATTTAATCAGTTAAATATTTTTTTTGTTAATCTCCCTGTTTGTCGTTTTTACTCTATTATAGTTTACCTTCACAATCTCTCTTTATTGAAAGTTTAAGAAGAAGCAATATTACATGAAAAATATATAAGTATTACCTTTACTTTCAACTCCCGCAACAAAAGCAAAAATGAAAATTACCAGAAACAACTCCAAAATAGTTTTAAACTTCATTTTGCTAGTTGATTAATTTGACATCAGATGTTTTTGAAGAACAGATGTTAGTGTTTTTCATTTATTTTATATAATTGTATTTTTCATTATGACGCAACCGATCAAATATTTGCTTTTAGATAAATAAACTAAGGAAACGTAGGTATTTAATTTTAGTAAATAAAGGATACATAATAAATACATTAAAAAACAGTCTTTTAACTTTGATACCAGCCTGGAAAAGAACGAAAAATAATAAGTTGCAAATCACTTAGAAAGTGTTTACTAAATTATTATGTTCCTTTTCCAGAGATGTGATTTATTTGAAATATTTGCATTTAAAATGCAAATACAAAATAAAAAATACTTATTTGCATACTGCAATTTTTAAAAAAGCATTTTGTATTTTATTTAAAATACTTTTCCAAACATATTTTCTATTTGTAAAATGCAAAATACGTTTTTTCCGTTAAAACTTTAGCTTGTATCACTAATCAAGCGTTATATAAAATGATGAATGAAAATTGTTCACACATTGACCATTGAAGGTATTAGAAGCTTAAAAAGGGGAAAATTCTTTAACTGAAGATAGCCCAAAAAATTCTAAACTCCTTGGAAATAGATAAATAATCTAAAATATTGAATCGATATTGTTTTCCGGGTTCATTCATGGAATTGTAAAATGCAAAATACGTTTTTTCCGTTAAAACTTTAGCTTGTATCACTAATCAAGCGTTATATAAAATGATGAATGAAAATTGTTCACACATTGACCATTGAAGGTATTAGAAGCTTAAAAAGGGGAAAATTCTTTAACTGAAGATAGCCCAAAAAATTCTAAACTCCTTGGAAATAGATAAATAATCTAAAATATTGAATCGATATTGTTTTCCGGGTTCAATATCATGGTCCATGGAATTTTGAAGTTCCAAATTGATATCAGCACCTGCCAAATCAATTACGACAAAACAGTCCGCAAAACAATATGGAATTGATATACGCCAACTGTGTAAAACTGAAAACTATAAGATATTGTGATGTGCTAAAAAATGCCTAAAATCCAAAATTCTTAGAAAACGATTCGAAAAACTTAACTTATTAGATGAACCCAAAGCTATTTACAATGTGTGATCGGAAACAAAATGCGGTTGTAAATATTTTCCGATATAAAATGATTGCTGTTAATTTTACATCAATAAAATTATTTGCAACCCTATTTTGGCTCTGATCACTAAATGTAAATTTCAACAGACGCGTCCGCAATGACGGTGGTATTTAGGGAGAGTCTCCTTTATTTTATATATTCCTTTACGAAAATCTAGAATTGGGAAAACTCATGCAAAGATAAGTGGTACAGAAGAATGGCATTATTTTATTATTGAATAATCTAAAGTCTAATATTTTATGGGGTAGCAATGTGGAAATGGAAAGAGTTTAAAAATATAGAAGAAGAAATGCATAAAGTGGATTTTAAACATAGAACAATGTACAGGTCCGACGAAGGAAGCTGGCGAGCGGTCGCGCAGGTACTTGCCCATTTATGACCTATTTGGGTAAGTCACTTGGAAGCGATACACAAATAAGCTTTCAGTAGGCGTAAATTATAGTATCTACTAATACAGTAGCGTACTAGAAAATAATGTAGAAACATAGCTTACCAAAAAGAAAAAAATAATTGTCTTTGTTTCATAGTTAGTTTTCACATTCACTGTCATGATGGTAATCTCTATCAATGTCACCAACATAAACAATTAGTTCTTTTGTTTGTCTGTCTATTACTTGCTCACTGATCCCTATTTTTAAATATCTAATCTACGCCCCTGATAGGAATACTGAAGAACGAGGGCTGCAATAGTTATACCTAAAACTGCCTACTTTTGCCACCGCGTATCCACGCCATTTTAAAATTTCCGCCAGCTTGCAGCGTCAGGCCTGTACACCTGATTATATTGTAAAAAAAGAAACAAAACGTGATAAGATGGTTGAAGAAATAAGAAGAAGAGTAGTAAGATACGAAAAAAAAAATAAGAGGACTGTAAGAAGAAGATAGATATAAGAAGAGAGGTGTGGAAAAAAAGTAGTGGGAATTGCTATGGAGAACATATATGCTAAGGAGATGGAAAAAGCCCTAAAAGAGATAATGGAGAAGCAACTAGACCAATGAAGAAGAGAAATAATGGATACAGGGAATATGGTAAAGAAAAGGAGTTACGAATTAACAATGGGGGATGACTTAAGGAGTGTAGAGAAGTCGAAATATGCGAAAGGGTTGAAAGAATTTCTGTAGGATGAGTGGCAAGGAGACTTAATACCGAAATATACGAGACCAAAAAAAGGTATACGTTCTTATCGAGATGCCATTGGAAAAAAGAAATATGTAAAAATGCCGCTCAACTGGAGTGAGTGAAGGGGAACTCGTTTATGAAGCTACATTTAAAAAAAAGCGAATCCCCCTCTAGGATTATTTCTGGATCCGGCTCTGTAGAAAAATACAACAATGAGGACTAATTTTCGTTCTATTTGTTAATAAAAAAATCGACTCATGTGCAACTATTAATCAATCAAACTACATGACGTAAAAGTATAATTATAATTTAAATAAACATAATTTCCTATCATTTCCATTGCCTAATCATTTCCCATAATTATTTACATATACATCTTGTAATTACAAATTCCTACCATTTGCATGACAAAGTTGAATACGTGACTGACACACTCCAAAGAAAAATTACTTATTTCTCTTAAAAAATTTAAGTTGCTCNTATCCTTTATTTACTTCTTTCACTAATAATTTAATACTTGATTTAATTAAATGAAAATTAATAAAACACCAAATCTGAAACTGCAAACTTTATTTCATGTTAACATTCGATTGTTTATTATTATTCAGGCTCTAGCTCGATATACAGTTTGAACTTAAAATGGTGGAAACTGTAACAATATTTGAAATAACGCCACACCAGTTTGATGTGAAAACGTCAAAAATTATTATCAAAACGCTGGCTATTATTTGAATAAACTTTGCTACATCTAATGTAATTTTTATAGAACTTCCGTCTTCGTCATCATTTTCGCATGAACATGAACAAGATCTTTGAAGAAGAGTTGCAGATCCTGTAAAATCTTGTATAATATTTTGAAATTTCGACCTCAGATTCAAATTGTCTGTTAACCCATTAAATTGTGCACTCTCTGAAAATAAAGTAACATTAAACGATATTTTAAGTAATTCATACTGAAATGAAAATCAAATTGGTGTTTACGACAAATTAAGTATATTAACATAAATAAAACTATAAAAATGTTTAGGTGCCAAAAAAAGTTCTCACTTACCATTCGCTTTATCACAGAGGGATATTGTTACAAATAAGGCAAAGACAAGAAGAAAAGCTACGATCTTCATGTTCGCTTAAGTTTATAATCGTATCCCTGCAAACTGCTTTTTACAAAATACTGTGCTTATAAGTATTACCTAATTTCATGTTTTTCATTTATATAATAAACACTGTTTGACTACTGTCAAACAAGACAAAAAAATTTATTTATTTATTTGAGAATTAAATATTATCTCATATTATATTGCTTCATCTAAATGATATATGTGAAAAATATGTGTATATTAAAACACATAATTACTTACAATTTTAATACATACGTGTGAAATTACCTACGACTTTTTAGGTATTTTCAACAGCCCCTACAGAACAGGGACTGTTATTTTTCTCCAGTCTTCGATCAAGAACTGAAATTATCTTCAAGAAATAATTTAGCAATCATGTTCATCCAGAAAAAAAAACACAAAATCTTTGGATTTAGGCAATGTAATATATTTTTCATTCATTTTTCATTTCAGTAACATATTTTTCACTCATTAAATAAAACATCTTGGGTATGGGAAATTGAATGCTTATGGTTTTAAATTTTACGCTTTATCAGGGTAAATTAATATTCAGGGTGAGCCAGTACATGGGTCCACATGGACCTTTTGTCTTACCCAACTAATAAAAAATCAATACACAAATAAGATTATTTATTATTTTTTAATATGTGTACATATGTAAAATATTAATCATTTAATATTAAATTTTACATATTTTCATGTTAAGTACAATATTTTTTTTTATTGTATTGGTAATGAGCCTAACGCGTTACTTATTATTTGTATTAATTGATTTATAGCGCTGATTATAGTGGTTAATGAACTACTAAAAGCGTTCAGGAAATTTACAATTATGTTTAAAACAGTTTGCAAATATGCAATAATCGTAGGGATGAAATCGGTGCCACCATTTCGAAGAATGCTCGTAATTGTGCCTTCCAAAACGTCACTAAGCTGAAGCTTTCCTAAAAGAAACTCAAAGTATGAAATGTGATATGAGCAAATTCCAACGTTTCAGTAAGATTTCAATCTCATTTGGATCTCCTCAGCACTCCGTAAACCGTTCCAACTCACCCTACTGCGTTTAGATAATGTTTTATGAATTACTACAAACAGAGTAGTGGGCGTCATTTATAGCAAATTACTACCTGTAGGTTCAAAGGGATTCAATAATGTTCGACAAGGCTCAAAAAACCACCAAAAATGAAAAATTTGCTATAAATGGTATTCACTAAACTGTTTCTAATAATTTATAAAGCAGCAGGTTGAGTTGATCCCTATTCTGTTATAACTGTCTACAGCGTGCTGACGAGATCGAATGAGATTCAAAATATCCGTTAAAGCAAGAAAATCGATAATATGAACAACTATGAACAGATCCAAAATAGACCATAGAACTTCAGAATAAATCTTATTATCTTAAACAAAACATAAATACGAAAAAAATTATTAAAGCAACTTACTTCCTATTTCATGTGCGGTGCAAGTAACTAACACAGCACACATCAGTATGGATACCACTATATTCCTTCCCATAATTATACAATTCTGTAATTTTGAACTACTACTTTTTTAAAAAACAAAAGCTACTTATTGTTAACTGGTTTACTTTCTATTAAACAATGAATGCGGTGTACCACTAACACTTCTAAAAAAATATCATTACTTACTAAATTTATTTGTTATTCAAATGTCGTATATAAAACTTTAAATAATTCTGCAACATGATCTAAGATAATTTTTGTTTGTTTAACACCATTTTACGTTTTATTTATATTCAAATACTAGATTAAATAGTCCTTCTATAATATATCACAAGAATTTCTCCTATTATTCTTACTCTTTATAGAATAATTGTAGATAAATTAAATCTATTTTAATGTCTTTATCTGACCCAAAAAATGTGAAGTACTTACTATTATCTTTTATTATAGTATATTAAAATGAAATAAAATATCACATAATCTCAAAAAATTATACACTATAATATTTTTCTTTTATCTAGGCGAAATATAGTATACCTATTAAATTTATAAAGTTTCAGAACAAAAAAGCATTCAAAAGGAACCTTTACAAAGATTACATAGAATATATGCCTGTATTTTAGAGAAAATTAAAAAAGGGCCTATCCAATTCAATAAATCATATACGAATTACTACTCTTTTCGGTATGTAATTTGTTACCTCTCGGTTTTGCAAAACGCTATTCACTCAATTTTATTGGTTATATATAAACATTATTTTTGTGTTAAGTATATTCTGCTATATTACTGTGGAAACTTTTCGTACCTCCTTTGTAGTAATGTTAAAACTTTCGTTGTAACCTACGTATAAAAGAAGATAATCGCGCTATCTTACAAGTAATAGCAAAACTGTATGTACATATGATAGATTACTAAATCTAGTAGAAACCATGTTTGGCTTTCAAACGTTAAGTGTCGCAGCAAAGTTTTTACATGCTATTATCAGATGGCATCTCAGACAGTCTCATATGCAGGTCAAAGCAGAAGTTTTGTCTGTAATACATGGTGCATACAAAAAGTTTTAACAATTTGAAACCAAAGTTTAATATAAAATCAACTGTTATTATAAAATCTGCCATGATTAAAACATCATAAGTCGGATTCCATATAGACAATTGTCCATATACAATGATTTACATGTCTGGCTAATTTTATGTATAATCTGACCAATAGTAACTCACTTTATTTCTTTTGTTTTTTCTTATAGTTGTCAACCCAAACAAGCTTTTTTTCTTGTTGAAACACATCTTTAATATCATTAAAATTCTTCAATTTGAATTATGAGCAAATTAAAATAATTTATTTTGCAAAATTTGAGGTAGTTACTGTTGCCATTTAGTGCTTCGACTTACCAAGCATTTGGAATAAAACTTTTTTCGAGATGTTTGAATAAATGTTGAGCAACTGATAAGTACCTTGATACAAATCTTGGAAACAATTTAAGCACTTTTCGCCTCCTTCTAATTTCTTATCCAAATTGTTTTTCTGTACAAATAGGTCGACCCATTTTCTTACATTCTGTAAGCTACCACATATATTTAGAAAACTCTGACTATAAGCAAAATAATTAAAATTTCTAGTATTCAACAAAGATTTCTTATAGACAGCGTATCAAAACCTGTTTAATACAAATAGCAACTATTATGTTCTTTTCAAAATTGGTTTTATATCAGAATGATTAAAGTACCATGAATATTATTGTAAATGAGGAAACTTGAAAAACGTAGCGCATCGGAGGGAAAATACTTGTCACTTTCGTACTGTACTTAAATTATAAGTATATAAATTAAAACTCTTTTTATGTATTATTCTCTTATTCTACAATATTAAGATGATATAATCCACCAAATACATTCAAATAATTATAAACTATTATTTTTTTTTATTTTTTGAAAGAATATGTATTTAGACTTTCTTTGAGGGTTTCATTAGAGAAAAAATAAATAAATGTTCTACACTACACTGCGTCCTTTTTATGTTAAATACGCTTTGGTGAAAATTATAGAATTTTGCATTTTAACTGTGAAAAGTTTTTGTATGTACCTTATAGTAGTGTTGAAACTTCCAGTGGAACCTGCGTATAAAGGAAGATAAAGCCGCCATCTGATAAGTAGTAGCAAAATTGTAAGCATATTTCACAGTTTTCTAAATGCAGTAAAATCGATATTTAACTTTCAAACGTTATGTGTCGCAGCTATGCTTTTAAGTGCTGTTGTTAGATGACACTACAAGATAGTCTCATACGTAGGTCAAAGAAGAAGTTTTGTCTGTAATATAAGGTGGGTACCAAAAGTTTTGCAATTAAAATATATTCACGGTAAAAATTATTTAATTCGGATTTCATAAAGATAGTATTCCATACATAATCGTTCACATGTCTACGTAGCTCTGACTAATAGTAACTATTTTTGTTTATTTTGCTTTTTCTAAGGTATCGACTTATAAAAGTTTCTTCTTGGTTCAAAAGTATCCTTAAGATCATTTTAGATAAAGATTAAATTCCATGTCAAGTCACGATCATCTTCTAGGTCCAGATTGCCTTCTCAGAACAATAAGTTATGATACAAATGGTAAAATTTAGGTTGTATTTGTTATAATTTTTTTTGTTTTATTTTGCAACTCGTCATTTGTTTGTATGACAATCACAAAGATTTATTAAAAAACAAAATGTGTATTTATTTGAAGTATTTATTTTTAAACGTTAATGTTGCAATTTTGTTTAACAGATCAAATAACTTGTCTGATTAAACCCATTTTCTTAAACACATTAGAACGTTTTTGTTCCTTTTTCTGCCAATAATTTTATTTATTTAATTCCAAATATATACTTTGAACGGGAAAAGAGATATTTTAAAGAACAATTGCTATTAGATCAACATAACTATTCTTCTTTTTTATAAATTCATTATTTTATAAATAAAAGACAGCAAGTGAATAATAATATTATTTTAATAAATTAAACATCTCAATATTTTTCATTAGAGTAATTACAAATATCAGAAAACCATTTTGTATATACGTATCACAAATTTAGAACAGATTTCTGCAGATTGGGCAAGTACTTTTGTTGCTGGTACTGAACCATTTGTACTGCAAAAAAGGAAATTAAAAAAATTAGATAGTTATTGCTATATATTTATTAAACTTACCAAACATGCTGAATGAAACTTCTTTCGACAAGTGCTGCATGAAAGCTTGGGCAACTGATAAGTACCCTGGTGCAAAACTGCGAAACAAATGTAACACTCTTCAACCCCTTCAAATTTCTTATCCAAATTATTATTCCATAAAGACAGACCATCCCATATTCTTCCATTCTAAAAGGTACCAGAAGTGTTCATTAAACTCTCATGATAAGTAAAATAATTAAAGTGTTTAATATTCAACAATTTTATTAATATAAAATTAATGTTATACTTGAATGATGAAAATACCATGGATGTTGGACCATATATTAGAAACAAAAACAGGAGTAAAGAGGAGCAGAAGGCCTCCACTGTTGGATATACGAAAATTAGCTCAGGATAAGAAATAGTGGTATTGCATATCTCAGCATTTTTTGTGAATGTGCAATAAATCAAAACCTACCTGGTGCAACACATTTGTTTTAAGTTGCAGAATCCACTGTCTATGAGAAGTCCCACAGATCTGTCGGTTGCACTGAATATCCGGTACTTTTAGAGGATAGTTAGGAGGTAAAGTAATCAACAGTTCCATCTGAGCTTCATCCACAGTATAAATAGCCACAACTTCTCTCACATTGGGATAAACTTTCACCTGATATTATCCATAAAGAAATTAAAAAATTACTCAAGCAATAATTATTTCACAAAATACGAACATACTGTCATGTTTTTAAACTTCTTTTCGTGTTGAATGACGTCAGAAAGTTCTTGGGAACATAGAGTTGGAGAGACGTACACTGAAGTGACTCTTTCTACTATTTGAGATACTTTGGACTCTGTTACTGACCACCACTGCCTCACTAAAGCCGGCAGTTGGGACAAAGTTTGGTAATACGTCCAGCAAACCATATGCTCAATGTGTAAACTCAGAAAACTGCCTACAAAGTTAAAAATTATAATCGCACATTTAAATAACTCGACAACTAAAAAATTGAATCAACCTGTGTAACTATTGGAAAACTTCTCCAAAAATAAATTTGCATATGGTTTAACTTTGGTACTGTTTTGATGTAAGACTTCAGTGGGCATCAAACGGAATAGGTTATTGAGTAATTTTGTCAAAAAGTCATTATTCCTAAAAATAATAAAAACAATTAACTTCCTTATTTAATTTTCCAAATTAAACAATAAACTCACTTTATCCAATCTGCGTACTGATATCGTAATTCTGTGGACGACAAATTGCACAAACATAAAATCACATCCCACAATAGCAAATAGGAGAAGGTGTAAGAATACGAGTCTGTAAATGGTTGAACAGTACAGCTATCTTCTCCAAGTCTAGCCAAAAAAATAATTTTCAAATTAAAACGTCGCAACAGCAACAGGGAGAAAAGTATAAGGCAAAAACACGCTGAAAGGTTCAAATAAAAATCCGCTCCTTCCTATCCTAATAAATATATCAATTTACATTTAATTATCCTGACCTGAATTCTAATAACATTGAATGAACGATTTCTTCTGTGTGTATTAACGTAGTCTTAAAATGCTCTATAGTTAATCCTGTAGCATGTGGGGTGTTTGAATTGACAGAATTCGAGTCAATGTCGACCAAACCGGGTAGCAATACCATTAGCAAATTGTAGGACCACAACTGAAGTGTATTCAGTGGATGAGTTAAAAGTGAACAACACTTTTCCACCAATTTAGTCCATTTAGGAGTTTTTGCGTCTTTTTTACTGAACAAACAATTGTAATCCAAGAATTGTAGTAATTTACCAAACTCTTGAAGAAGAGGAATGTCTCGGAGAGGTACATTGTGTTCATTTTGGTAATATTCTACAAACAAATGCACAAAAGTTCGTGGAAATTTAAGAAATTCGAGCAACTTTACCAACAAAATGAAGCCATAATTCAATGTTAAACCGATGTACATCTGCTGCAAATAAATTCTTCCATTCGTCTATAGTAGCCTTAGCAACATACGGAAGCTGTTTGTATAAATATAATATATGTTTTCTAATAGCAACGAATAAATTAGACATAGCTGCTAGTAAAGCTTCCAACTACAAAACAATATAATTAATAGATTATAGCGAATGTAATACACAGTGACCATAGTTTTCCTGTAAATTGATAGAAAATTGTATGTAGATACTACACATTTTATTGTATAAATTTATTCTTCACATATGTTGATAAAGTATCTTTCTAATTGCAGACCTTTTCTTTCCATGTTTCGCATTCATTCACATTTCCTAATTTCTTAATTTTCAAAAATTCAATAACAACACCAGTCTAGATTTAAATCCATCATTTTTCCCTCATAAATAAACATTCTTGTAATCCCTGTATAGGTGATGGATTTATCTGTAGTATGGCAAATGTCTATCAATTCATGAGAAAGCTACGGGCAGTATTGCGATACGATAGCGTTCTTACCTCGATTTTTTTAAACTGATTATTCATTTTAAGTACATTCTCCAACCACGTGGTGTACGCCACCACAGTAAAATCCCAACGAGCGGAACTCAGCAAATCGCCGTTCTGTTCAATAATTGACGACATAAGACGAATTACTTCAATTAATATTTGATAATCTTTCCACGTAAAAGAGTCTCTAAAAATTTAATACTTCATTATTTGTATAACAACTGCTTAAACGAGGTTGACAAACCCTTGCAATAGAAATTTTTTATCAGCTTTAAATTTATCTATTTTTCCAAACACTTCAGCTATTTGTACATCAATTTCGTCACAATGCAACAGACTCCTCAAACATATAACACTCTCCAAAGGCATCAAGTCGTAAGATACGTGGTCATAAGTCAAGCTTTCAGAAAATACTTGTCCTAAATGTACCACGCTTATTTCAGAATCGATTTCATCGCTATAATTTTCCACTAAATCGATATAAGCAAAACCAAGTTTTTTCTTACGAATTTCTGAATAAAATAAGTGGATAGCCTCTGCCCATATCCATCCTTCCTGCATGGTTTTCTTGCAAAGGGATTCCTCTACATTGTCCCGAAATTGTTCAGTTCCGGTTTGAATCAGATCCTTTATCGTTTGTTTTATTGAGATATAACGTTGCATTGTTTCTTCGAAATACTTCGTCTATTAAAATAGTAAACATTTTGTAATCATATGTTATACCAAAATCTGGATGATAAATTATCTGTTATGCCTACACCCTGATAGCTGTTTTTGTAAAAGACCAGTTGGCTAGTCTATATTAAATAAAATAAATAAGCAAAATAATTAACAATAAAGTGTTTCATTTCGGATTTTTAGGCTGTCCCACCGTCTTAAAGGATTAATATTCATCGATGTTTCGTTAACTCATACGGTTAGTATTCTCAAGAGTTTCTCCTAATGATTGAATGATCATTGATTTGTAACGAAATTTGAAGAACAAGAATCCTTCAAGACTGCACGAAGGTCTAAAAGCTCGAAAAGGAACATTTCATTGTAAAGCAAAGGTGAAAACCCTAATTAAATTATCAAGCAGAGGTACTTACATTTTTAAAGTTTTCGACGAATGATTTCGCCAAAGCTATTGAATAAATACTCGCAATAACAAATTCTTCAGGTTCAGAAAGATATTCAATTATTTTAGTCCCCAACTCTTCGTTTCCACCTCCTTCTTCGTCATCATCATCATCGTCATTTCCTTTGTTAGGTAACGGTGTAGTAAAAATGTTTGCCGTTAAATGACTCCAAAAGAAATAATTGCTCACGCTGAACTCTGATTCCATTTCAACAAACGCAAGCTCTTCATAAGGACAACTTAATCTTCCTTTAACATATTCAGCTTTCTTACATAGGTAACTTACTTGTTTCTCGCACTCATTCAAGAAATCGCGTTTCAAAATCAAGTGCAAGGCGTCGCTAATGCGCAGAGAATTCCCAGAATGAATACTCTTTACCAATAAAATAATTTTATCGACTAAGAAGCCTAAATCAAAGTCCTCTTTACGATTCCGATTTAAAACAAGGTCTTCAATAATATCTGAGAATTCTATAAAAAGGAATTTGAACTCCTCCAATGATAATTCCTTGCTTAACATAGAAACCACATCCTGCCAAACGTTTTTCATTTCCCACACCGTGTCTGAGGTTATACTGTCTCCAACACAATTTGTTAAACAGGACAATCTGAATAGAGATAAAAGTAAACTGCTCCCATGAGATAATTTATACTTTTCTGTGTATATTGCCCCTGCTATATGAGCACAAAATCGAACACAAACATCTAAAGTCGTCGAATATTTTAGAGGAGACAAAAGTACCCCTACAAATGTGTTAATGATTTCTTGAAGGACTTGATCTGATATAAATAACTCTGCAAAAAAAAACAAATAAAAAATTATACATTGAATTTAAAAATAAAAATAAGAACTTGTTATTGCATTTACCCTCGTCTTCGTTTTCTTCTAAAGTTTGTTTTAAAATTAAACTTAACTCCGGGGAGCACTTTCCAACGACAATTCTCTTAGAAATTTCAACGAAAAATGCTCCTATTTCAGGCTTTTTCAGCCACTTCTGTAATATAGGACATTGTTTATATGGAAATGATAACGATTTTTGAAGACACCAACTAAACACCTGTTCATCTGAAATCTACAACAAAGATTACAAAACGTTATTAAAGTAATCACCTTATTTAATTACCTTTAGTAGAGAATCCAAGATTGCGATTTTTTCGTCCACATTGGCATGTTTCAAAAGTAAAAAAATCAAATCAATAACATAAACCGAAGACAGCTGATCGTCTTTGAGCCATTGAGCTAATAATTTTTCAAAAATATCCAAAAGACTGTTAGAAGTGCTGCTTGTAACTTGTGCGTTTAAAAATTCAAAAAATTTCTTACTTTCGAAATCTTGAAGCAAGACATACAAATACTGTAATAGCTCTCTTGACTTTTTCTCGTTAATAAATTTCACGTACGATTTACAAACGTTTAAAATAACGCCGTCCAACATGCTCAAATAACTTTCCGAAAAACTGTTACTTTTTGAAATATTGGAGTTACTTTGTTCTTCATGAGACTCAGTTGTAAAAACGACTTTCATTTGTTTTTTCGATTTTGTAATTTGTCGTAAAGACTTTAACAGTTCAATTTGTCTATTGGCAAAGTCAGAAACGGCGTTGGTTTCGAAATTTAGTTCTAAATTTAGTAGAAGTCCTTGAAATAACGACTCCAAATTTTTCCAAAAATATTGAAGATAGTGATTGTACTGAGGAACGTCCTGATTGTCCACATTTCTACTCCAATATTGAACAACTGTTGCAATTTGATTAAAAACTGTTTTATAAACTGCCTGCGGTTCTGTAAGAGACCATTCTATTGATGATATCAATTGGGTTCTAATCAGTTTTTCACAAAGTGTAACGTCGTTTTGGTTTTTCAAAATAACAAACTGAAGGCATTCAACAAAAGCAGTCGAAATTGCAACTGCCTCTGATCTACTGGAGATTGCAGTTTTATACTTTAAACTAAAAAAAGTTGTAAAATATAAGCATATTAGAAGAACAGTGTTTTCAAAAAACTTACCCTATTCGTAAATTTTCAAAAAATGTCGAATAAAATATCGTCATATCAGGTAGAGATGGAAAATGAGATACTAATGGCAGCAAATTTGGGTAAATCACTGATGCATTACCTTGGCCACCTTCCCTAAGAATTTTCCACAATTTATTCAAAACTACTTTCTCAACATTTATATATTTCCACCACTCCTCAATTGTTGTTATTGTGGATAAAACAGCTTCCCAAAATGTGCATAAAACAGAAGGGTCTCCTTCATCCAAATTACCAAATACACTCCCCACTACATGTGAACTTTCATTTTTTAAAAGAAATGGAGATTTCTGACACAAAGCACTAATAACTGAAAACCAGGATGATCGAATTGAAGCAACTTTTGCTTTTGATATTTTCCAAAATTTTTGATTGGTAATAATCTTTGCATTATGTTCCAGTGTTTTTTCAATATATGCAGAAGGGACTTTTTTTAAATAAAGGGCATATCCTTGCAAACTTGATACCATAATGCGATGATATTTTGCTTCAGCATCTTCAGATGATATATTTTTTGAAACACCAACTGTTTGTGGTGTTTGTACAATAATATTGTCATATATGTATTCTAATATTTCCTCCTGACAAAAAATGATTGCATCTATGAGCTTATTTGCAGGAAAAGCTGCCTAAAATAAATAGTTAAATATGTAAAACAATCCTTTTAAAAGAAAATTCTGTATGTGCTTACTTCGAAGGCTCTAGTAGCAGCAGTGGCAGCGGGAGGATATGTATCATACTGTGAAGTAAACCAAGCTCCAGCTAATTGTTTTAAATATGGTGCCAAATTCCTTTTGACCTTCTGTACAACCTCTATATGAGCAATATGTGTTGCCTCTCGAACTTTGTGATCAGAATCAGTTGCTAATATACAGTATATTCTTGGCCAAAAAGGTAAAACTGTTTTTATCATTGCAGATTCGCTGTTTTTACACAATTCCGTAAATTCTTGTAACGCCTTAAATAGTACAAAATTAGTATACAAATTTTACATCAACTGTTCTACATACTTTAAGTTTTGTTGTAGAATCTTTCTTATTCATTTTTTTCAATACGAGTTGGAAGTTTGTATCAATGGAAGAATCCAATTCATCACTTGTTAGTGAAAAACTAGGCAGAATTAAACCGGCGTCTTTAAGACCCGAAACGCCGACAAACTGAGTAAGAGAAGAGCCCAGTAATTCAGCACTTCGAGCACTACTTGATGGCTAAAACATATGTTCACGTCTATGCCCATACAATAATAATTTATTATATCATACCCTGGCATTATTCTTCGTTCTCTGAGCTTGTTTTCTTTTTCCACCCATAGCTAAAGTATTAAGAGCACATTCACTAATTAAACTACGGACTAATTTAGCATATATATACGCGATATATACTGACTATTATTGACAATATTGACATACACATATACATAACCAAAAAAATAAAGCTTTTTTACTTTTAGATCATAGGTTAAACTTTTAGAGGCCTTTTCTGTTGCTTCTCATAGAGTTAGCAGTTATTTATGTATTTATATATTCAGTGGTATTTATTGTCATACACTTATGGAACCACAGATACAGTTTACAAAATTTTAGCTTATACAGAATAACCAACAATAAAAAATGTAAATTCAAAAATTTAAATTAATAAATAACTCTGCAAAAAAAAACAAATAAAAAATTATACATTGAATTTAAAAATAAAAATAAGAACTTGTTATTGCATTTACCCTCGTCTTCGTTTTCTTCTAAAGTTTGTTTTAAAATTAAACTTAACTCCGGGGAGCACTTTCCAACGACAATTCTCTTAGAAATTTCAACGAAAAATGCTCCTATTTCAGGCTTTTTCAGCCACTTCTGTAATATAGGACATTGTTTATATGGAAATGATAACGATTTTTGAAGACACCAACTAAACACCTGTTCATCTGAAATCTACAACAAAGATTACAAAACGTTATTAAAGTAATCACCTTATTTAATTACCTTTAGTAGAGAATCCAAGATTGCGATTTTTTCGTCCACATTGGCATGTTTCAAAAGTAAAAAAATCAAATCAATAACATAAACCGAAGACAGCTGATCGTCTTTGAGCCATTGAGCTAATAATTTTTCAAAAATATCCAAAAGACTGTTAGAAGTGCTGCTTGTAACTTGTGCGTTTAAAAATTCAAAAAATTTCTTACTTTCGAAATCTTGAAGCAAGACATACAAATACTGTAATAGCTCTCTTGACTTTTTCTCGTTAATAAATTTCACGTACGATTTACAAACGTTTAAAATAACGCCGTCCAACATGCTCAAATAACTTTCCGAAAAACTGTTACTTTTTGAAATATTGGAGTTACTTTGTTCTTCATGAGACTCAGTTGTAAAAACGACTTTCATTTGTTTTTTCGATTTTGTAATTTGTCGTAAAGACTTTAACAGTTCAATTTGTCTATTGGCAAAGTCAGAAACGGCGTTGGTTTCGAAATTTAGTTCTAAATTTAGTAGAAGTCCTTGAAATAACGACTCCAAATTTTTCCAAAAATATTGAAGATAGTGATTGTACTGAGGAACGTCCTGATTGTCCACATTNGTATATGTTTAGATAAATTAACAGAATAATCACATTTCTTTAGATTATAATATTTTTTGTTAATAATAATTGATTACTTTTTAGCCCCTAGTTGAGTCATAAATTGATTAATTTTTTCCACCAATTGCGATTGAGGATTGCATCGACTTTGAACATAAATAAGAGCTTGAATGTCTTTTTGTTCAAAAGCTATTTGTGCCGCTTGTTCTAAATATCTAAAAAAGTAAGAACTATTTAGTTAAACAAAGAACACTACAACATTTTCTGAGACATAAAGGGTTAATTAAGGATATATTAGAAGTAAAAACAGGAGTGAAGATGGGCAGAGGAAAACATACGTTAGATTAGTGTTTGTAAATTGGGTCAGGATAGGAAGGAGTGTAGCTGTTCAGTCACCTAATCACATCATCCATTTCACGCTCTTTATTTTGCAATTACCAAAGAAAAGGGAATTTAGTAAATAAAAGGGAGAGCAAAAACTGGAATGAGAAGTAAGAAATAAAGAAGAAAGAGGAAAGGCTGTTTTTTGCAATAAGGACACACAAACTTACTGAGCTTTCACGTAATATTTAACTTTGACTTCATCACTAACTTTAGGGAGATACTTCAATGCTTCTGATTGTTTATCCCATTTTAAACATACGTCAACGAATGGGGCGTATCCAATCGGCGACTTTTTCAGCTTAGAAAAATTCTCTAATTCTTCCCATTTCCCAGAATCCGAAAAGTTAAGTATCTTTAACCACCAAAACCTTTAAAATAACATTTATTTATTTCAGGAATTTGATTTTAACAGTGATATACTTTTAATTTTTTTTGTAATGCAATATTTTTTTATAGTATTATTAACTATTATTTTTTGTACTTTTTATTACCGCTTATCTGGTATTTTGTAATTTGTTCTCATTTTTTCAGCTTCTTTAGGGTCGACTTCCAAAAGTTTTTTGCACGTTTCATGTACCGACTTCCCAAGAAAACTGCCATTTCTATTTTTATATTTATCTTCTAAATTTCTTTGGTACTTGAGCAATTTTAAATTTTCTTCACAAACGGTCATTCCCAGCTCGTTGCGTGCTCTTTTAAACGCTTCATATGCTGCACTTAAGGATGCGTCTTTAGTCAAATTTTTCTAAAAATACAGCGAATATGAATAAATTAACATATTCAAAAAAACGAAATAAAATTCTCACTTTATCATCTATATATTCGAGAATATGCAAATAGGCTTGTGAATTGAAATCATCTTCCTGTATATAAATTTCGTTTAAGGCCTGTGTATTGTGCTGTCGACTATACTTAATGTATAGCGCTTTTGCGACCGGAAAATGTCTTATAGTCATCTAAAATTGAATTAAAATACTTCCGTGATTTATAAAAAAAAATTAAACAGGAAATAGTACTTTAAAATCGGCAAGAGGCATGTTACTCCTCAATCGTATTATAACCATGTAGACCAAATCCGTATCTCCACTCTCCATTGCTTTTATAAGGGCCGGTGTAACTTCATCTAGACTCAAAAGAAGTTTTACTTGTTCACTGGCCTTTGTTTCATAATCCAATAGCTAAAGTAAAATAACATGTAATTATTTATATGTAACAATATTTTTTTAATCTAGCTTTTACGCTCACTTTTATAGCCAATTTCTTTTTTCCACATTCTGCAGCTGTAGAAGCAATATCACTGTAAGAAATACCGGGTGTATAACCGAACTTGTCGGCTATTTCTCTTGCTGCTGTTTCTTCATCAAGATGTGGCTGACGTACCTAAATCGATGTAAATTTTAATTACAAGTTCTATTGAGAAAAAATGGAGGTAGAGTGTGGAAAATACAATGAACACATAAATATGGAGCCGTCACACAAAATTAATTCATTTTTATCTGAAAACAATTAAGTACCTTGTATTTAGCCCAGTGAGCTAAAATTCTACTGCTTCCTTCCTTATCAGGCATTTTTAAATATTTTGCAATTTGAATAGCCAAATAATACTGTTTTCTGGAAACCAATCGATCTAAAAGAGCTTTTTGACCCAAAAACCACAATCTGAAAATATTACAGTCTAGTAACTTGCTCAAGTATCAAGTAGGTAATTCGTAAAAATACTCGGTATAAGTTAGGGGTAATCCAATTTTTCTATCTCTGACTGCGTTTAAAACCCTTAATAATCTGCACATCTTTACATATTCATCCGAATCAATGTTTTGTACAAAACATTTTCCAAACTGAGCAGCCTTAAAAAAATATAAAGGCGATTTAGAAAAAGAATTTAAACCACACAATTTTATCTTTAAAAAAATTAAAATTTAATCTTACCCTAATCAACATTTTTTGAACATCAGGATTAAACTCATATCCTGCTGCTTCAATGCACTGTTTAACAGCAACTTCCAAATCCTTTTTTACCAAACAAATATACTCATCAGCTCGATGACTTCTTTTCTGAGTTACAAAAAAAATATACTGTTAAAGATAAAATATTGTGTAGTACAAATAAAAACCTGAAATTGTTTACAAGCTTCTAATAAGAAACTTCCTGGGTCTGTGCTATTAATTCTAAAGATTTTCTGAACAACTTCGGGAACTTTCTGTAGCAGTTCGTGCTGAGCAGTGGATAGAACCCTAACACCATCTATTTCTGGTGCCAAGTGTACCGAAGTATCGTAAACATATGAAGTTTTTTCCCCGTAACGACCAACCACCATTAAAGTGCTAGGCTGTTCCCAAAATGCAACAACTGCTTCTGTTCCACACCTGCGTATTTCACCATTAAGTGGTTATTTTTCAATGGAATTCTTGGATTTTTCACAAAAGATGTGAAGTTAGATTTGCATTTGATTTTAGAGACAACTGAGAATGTTATTACATTTTACTAAAACAAACCATATTCCAAATATTTCTTTTTTCTAATTTTAATGTAACCTTTATAAAATAATTATTAGCATAAATTGGTAAAAAGCGTGAATAGTAAAATAAGAGAAAGTAGAAAGTTTCACCAAGTATTATAAATAATCATATAAGTTTATAACTTATGCACGATTTGCGTCGATTTAACGCAAGTTATAATTCAATGACCCTTACCAAACGAGTTGCCTTGGTGTGTAAACTATTGATGTGTCTACTTCACTATATTTTGTTCTGAAATCTGAAGAACCCAACCACAAATATCCAGCATTTGTAAATAATACAACATGTCTTATGTTTATCGACACTGCCATTTCTAATATTGATGAATAACTGTGGGAAATATCTGGTTCCAACTAAAAACCACAAGTCATTACTTAGATTATCTTTTCAGGGCATTAGTAATATGTACCATTGTAGATGTATGGTGTTCATCTTGCTTTAAAATGTACAATTCTTTTTCTCGAGCAACAAGAACATCTGTAGCTCTATCATCTGAAATTACTACCCATGCAGTAGGCTTTAAATTAGATCCTGAAATGTTTACATATATAAAACACATAAATTTTGTGAAATTATTTAACGTAGGTAGATAACTAACTTGGAAGTTCTGAAAGTTGTCTTTTCTTTGGTTCTTTAATGTTATTAACTAAAAATACTTTATAATTTGATGTCATTATAGCTATTCCAGTAAAATTTTGAGGATTAGTAAATATTTTGGCATCAATTACTTTCATATCCTGTGCCTCCTGATCTATACTAAATTCATTTAAAAAAGCACCATCAAAATCATGAAGGACTACTTGCCCATCCTCTTGGATACAAATAAATTTTTCATCAGTTGACCAACCCATTTTAATAATTGGACCACGTGTCCACTTTAAAATAAACCACAATAATTTCAATAATCCAAGTTATGTATTTAGTTAACAAACCTTCAGTGAGGTTATAAGTCTACCAGAACCAGAATATAAAGCAATAACTTGTTTTCCAGATCTTCTTACTTTAACAATCTTTTTCTCATCCCTTCTGATAGCAATCATTCCTCCACAAGGGGCTACAGAAGCAATAACATTGTCCATGTTAACATCCTGTTGCCAGCCCATGGAATAGATTTCAAACTTCCTGACATAGAAAAGTCAAAATAATGTTCACATTTTAAAAATATAGGAATAAAATATCAACTGAATAATTCTTACCTAAAATACAAGTCTCTACCTAGTAAAAACCAGTCCGCTGTTAACATCGCTGAAGACATTTTAAAGTACGTCTACACTTTACTATTGTTCTTCGTTCTTCTAAGTGATAAAGTCTTTATTAAATACTTAAAAAATAATTCAAATTTGAATAAAACAATACATATTTCAACCTTAAATGTTTGATATCAAAAGTTTGTTTTTATTTTTGACAGAAAGTAGTGGAAAAGGTATCTAATATCACAGGAAGTGCATCCTTACCCCTCTTGCTGAAAAAAGTAGTTCCCAAATGTAAAAGAGATGTCACTTATTGGAGTAGTTCTACTAAAGCTAACGATTTACTCGGTCTCCAGATTTTTTTGTTTTCTTCTGTTTTCATTTTGTTCGTCTCAACTTTCTTTTCCCAATGAACTATCCAATAATTCCATCGATTCCTAAAAGGATGTTGATGAGTGCCTTCCGTTCTACCCTTCAGATTTGTAAAAATGTGTAGACCAGAGTGACTGTTAAAGTTTTTTTTTATTTAAATTATCACGTCTGTGGTTAATATTAATATTCTTAATGGGTTTAGATTTAATTAGTGAAGCTAAATAAAATAAAAATCAAAAATAATCTTTTTAATTGATAAATTGAAGTATAAAATCAGTAATTAAATATAAAAACGTTAATCAAGTAACAAAAAAACATGTAAAAAATTATTTAAACTTAAAAATAATCTACTGCTTATTCATATTCGCTTTAATCCAAGGATGTTTCATGACTTCTGGAAGAGTTAAACGTTTCTCAGCTTCATGAACAAGTAACTAAAAAACAGAAAAATAAAACTTTATGAAAAACAGTTCTAAAAAACATTCTTACCCCTGATATTAAATTTATAGCTCCTGAAGGAACATGTGGAGGGAATTTGATATCAACTGTGCGAATTCTATTGTATGTTTCTTCGGAATTCTGGCTTTCAAAGGGTGGAGATCCCACCAAAAACTCAAAACATAGTATACCTACAATTTGCAACTAATATAAATAACAACAAAAAGCTATAGCAGAAAAAATTGAACTTTCAAAAAAATACTCAAAATGATAAGCATTTATTACTATCATTACCATTTATGTAACTTATAATTAAAAATGTGTACACATTTTTTTATATTGATTAAAAAAATAGTCGTGGATTGCGATTTTGACATTATGGCGTGCTAATGAGATCAAATAAGTTTGAAATCGCGATCTACGTCTAGTAGTTTCAATAAATTGCTGATCAAGAACGTATAGTGTTCTGATTAACGTTTTTACCTAAACACCAGTGATCTACATATTTTCCATAAATTTTATTGTCCACTATTTCTGGTGGAAGGTAATCTAATGTTCCACACATTGTTTTACGCCTGAGGGATGGTGCATGTACTGACCATCCAAAATCTGCTAATTTGATGTCTCCATTTGTTGTCAAAAGCAAATTCTCTGGCTTTATGTCACGGTGAATTACCCTTCTCTGATGGCAATAATTTAAAGCATCTGCTACTTGATATATGTATTTTGCAGTCCTACAAAATCAGCACAATACAGCCAAAAGAGCAAATATTATTTTTCTGCACAGAAAACATTTTAAAACCTTCTAGCATTAAATAGAATTCTTACAAATGTTCATCAAAATGACCTCCAGGACTAGATTTTAAGTGTTTATATAATTCCCCTCGGCCGGCATATTCTAAGGCTAAATAAATACGAAAATCATCATGAAACCATGTTAGCAACTGCAGAATATTTGGATGTCTATAAAAAATTAGAATTATTTAAAAAGGGCATGTACTAAACCAGTAATATGTATCTACTTCAAGTGAGTTTGAATCTCTATTTCTCGCAGAATTTGGCGTTCTACGTTGCCTTCAACAATCTCCTTCTTGAATAATGTCTTCATTGCTACAAGATATCCAGTTTTTTTTTCTCTAGCCATGTAAACACGACCAAATTTTCCTCTACCTAAACGCTGCCCTAGTTCAAAATCATCTAAGCTCCAATTATAACTAAAATAATAATCATTTAATTAAATCATGTGAGTAGCAATCGTGTAGGTGTACTTTACTTTTCGTTTTCAAAGCATTCATGGGACAACATGGAGACAACCAGTTTGTAAGTTTTGTTAACATGATGATCTGGTACTGTCTTGTTTTTTAAATACTGTTTTGCAATTTCTTCTGCTTTGTTAGGTACTAACATTGTTTTAAACATAGAATACACATACACCTTAACAAACAAACAATTTAAAACAATTTTCCTTAATGAATGATCACACAGAGAATAACACTATTGAAGAATTGTAACGGTCACAATTCAGATAATTCAAATTAAAAATTTGAATCTTGACACGTTACTTTTGACATTTGGAACTATAGAGTATTTGCAACTGGTTAGATAACCCATTACCTAAGTATTCATCGCGTTTTTTATAAAATAGGGTTTGTTATGATTTTGCGTTATATTCAGTATATTTAAGTATAAATATCAACCGTATATCATTAAAATACATCTAGAAGAAATGTTTTTTTTTCTTCAAAAATTTTACCTGAGTATGGTTATGTTTTAATTTTTTGAGCGATAACAGTTGATAATAAGTATTTTCTATCTTGAGGATCGTGCTTTTTGATTTTAGGACGAATATTCTTTATTCAGCACTCTTAAATCTGTTATGCCAATCGCAGATTGGCTGAAAACTAGAAAAACGATGGGAAATAGGATATCCCTCAAAAACAAGAATTGCGTCTTCATTATTAAATTTACAGATCGTGAACTTTTCTCTTAAATTGCCTTTCAATCAAAGGCTGACATGGTATGTTATTCACCAATATCCCTTAATATTCAACTAAAGAAATGATGCAATTAATGTTGTTTTACAATGCTTTTAAACACTTGAAATTTTTAGAATTCTCTAACTTGTTCCAATAGGGACCGTGGCAGTTTTTCATCTACTACAGATTGTGCAGAGGAAGATGAGCAGGAAGATTCTTCTTCCTCTTTAGATAAAGAGGTATACCTAATACGTATAACATAATATTAAATAATCATATTCATTGTTTTTCAAATAATGTAGGAAGAAGACAATGTGCAACAACTTTTGACAACTTTTAGAGAAAAGTGGAAGAAAGAACTTGAAGATTCATCAAAGCCGTTTAAGCTAACAAAACAACCTCAGCTAAATACTTTGGAAAACTACTCTGGAGATACAGAGACAATTGTAAGTCTATCTGTATGAAGTTCCTTCTTAATGATGTTGAAGCAAGACCCACATAGAATGTTTTCAGTAAAACTTATACAAATTAACATGCAGCATACTTTAAAATGATTTTTAGTTTAGCTATATTTCAAAATCTTTTTTGTATGGTAATTTAAAACATGTTTACAATATATTTATTTATCCTAAATACAAAAGACAAATTTGTAATTTTCTATCTCACTTTGAACAATTGAACAAGAACCATTAGTACAATTAGAGGTCAATTATCTTTGAAAATGTTTTAAATGTGTTGCTTTCTTTTGTAGCCCTTATTTTAATTAAATTAGATATTGCCTGCTGACGTGAGACATCCAATCATCCTGTAGTAACTTTTAAAAATTATAACAACCTGGGCTAACAAAACCTAAGCTTATGGTTAATTTTTATTTCTACCTTTCCTAAAGTATTCTTTCCCTTTTCATTTAAAATTTACTGCATTTGTTTTATAGGCTAAGGAACTATTTTTAAAAGGAATTGAAATGGAGAAATGTGGTAAATTGTATGAAGCGATACAATTTTATCGACGAGCTGTACAACTTGTACCTGATATAGAGTTCCGTTTGGACGAAAAATCAAAAACGAAATTGCGGGAAACCCCGATTCGTGATAACGACAATAGTATAGAAAATGAGAATATTGTAGAAGATATGCAGAGCAGCAGTGATGAAGATGAAGATGAAATAAGAGGCGATTTGTATGCTCATATACTGAGAAAAGTAGGCACCATGAAATGGGTTTGCATTCCAAAATATGAGCCAGAGGTACAGTTGCTAGCAATTAAATTAAAATGGTTCTGAAGTTCTTTCCAGGCTGTTCTTTTGTGGTCTATGGAATTCTTTATTTTCAAATGTTTAGGGGCTTTTCTTGATGAAATGTGCAGTAGTAATTTGGTTTCTAAGTCTTGACTACCATCAACAAAGAATAAAGAAAAGTATTCTATGGGCCATGGTAGGACAATCTGGAAGGAAATGTACAACAAACTTACGTCGGTTGTTAAGCATATGTATTAAAATTATATATGACTATGTTGATAATGTTAATTAAAAAATTAGGGGATACACATCAGAGATTTACCAACTGAAATAATGTTGTACATTTTGAAATGGGTCGTTTCTTCTGATTTGGATATGAGATCTTTGGAAATATGCTCCCGTGTTAGTCGAGGATTTTTTCTTTGCTCCAGAGATTCGGAAATTTGGCGATTAGCTTGTGTTAGGTCAGTTACTACTTTTATTAATTAATTTTATTGTGTTGAAGAATGATTATATTAATATTTAAAGAACATGGGGCTTGAATTGCGGCGGTCTAACCAATATGTACTCTTCCTGGAGGCAGATGTATATTGAAAGGGCTAGATTAAATTTTAATGGGTGCTACATAAGCAAAACGACGTACATTCGACATGGTGAAAATAGTTTTCAAGATCAATATTATAGACCTTGGCATATGGTTACATATTACCGTTATTTCAGGTATGAAAAATAATTGCTTTATGCCATACAGAAGAAGTATTTTTATTTTTAATATCATAAGGCCACCGTCCACGTTTATATACTTACCTTTTTAATAATCATTTCTGAATTCCAAGTTAACCGATCGCGGTCATAGAAGTGATTTTTTTTACTTATGCCGCTTTTTCTGTCCTGGTTTGGACTTTGTCTTATTTTCAGATTTTTTCCTGAAGGTATAGTTTTGATGCTGACAACGGCTGATGAACCAGCTCAAAGTGTTAGCCATCTTAAATACAGGAAATCGAAGAATTTAGGTGTTTTATCCGGCCATTATCGTCTCAAAGACGACAGAGTACTTATTGTGGTCCAGCATCATACTGCACAAATAAAAAATAGAAAGGGTAGAAAAGAATTAATCCAACCAGACGGCATTGCAGAGCAAATTTCTCGACTGGTAAGGGTTTTTGTTTTTATTTCTGATTTATATTAAGAGTAAAGTTCTTTATTAAAACAATTTGTTGCGTCCATAGGAATTACAGATCAAAGATCATAAAAAGCAACGTCACGTCCAACTAGTATGGAAAGACTATTGTGTGTTTACCAGAAGAAGAAATGGTAATGAAAGTAATTACATTATTGATTTGGTAACGAATAGATTTCCTCCCTTGTGGTTTTCAAGAGTAAAGAGCTACACCTCAGAGACAGAGAGTCTTCTAATGTGATAATTAATGAGTTGTCCTTACTCAGTGAGTTGTTCTTACTAATAATTTAACGTTTATTTTCCACCGATTTAATTTTCCTTTTATAAACAATTTTAGTTTGTCATTTTGAAATAAGTGGGAAAAAAAGGGTTTTTGAGGGATTTACGTTTTTTGTTTTAATTTTACTTTTAAAAAAGTATAACTGCTGAATATCTAATGTTGATTGCTGTAATATATTAAATACACAACTAAAATGAAAAATACTATGTACCTTTTTTCTTGTTCTGAATATACAAAAAAGAGGATGTTAATTCCTGTTTTATTTCTATAAATATAAGAATAACGGATTTCTATTTGAGATGTTAAACAGAATAGATATTAATGCATTAATATTTTATTGCATAATGAAAATATTATAGGCAATCGTGTTTTCTACATAAATATAGATTTTGTACTACTTCAACGTAATACAACTGCTTGAACGTTGTTAACAAACATTTGTAACTACTAAAGAATTGCTATATTCAGTAAGACGATCTTCAAAGTATGGTCTGTTGGGCGATAAAGATAAAATATGAAACTCGCATTTTTACAATATATTTATATGCAATATTAAAATACTAAAGTTTTAAAAGAACATATGCACAGTTTCTGTTAGGAAATAGGGCATGATAGAGACAGTTCCAAACATAGCTAGAATTGTAAGGCAGTAAGAGAGGATTAAGAAGCTATGGTTATAACATTATAATTTTGGTCCTTTAGGTACCAGAGTGTTCCGAAGTCTCTCACTGCACTTATGGAAACTGATTTGTATTATATGTATAAATATTATTGCTATTTTTTAATGCAAATATGAATTATAATTTTTCGTAACATAAGTTTCTTTTCTTAAATAAGCTTTTTGGTGACAATTTTAACTATAAATTAGATGGAGGCATTTTAGATTTATACAGTGAGTATTAAGTAAATAACTAGTAAGTACAAAGAATGCTGGTTTCGGATGATCGAATATATATAAAAAAAATTATGCGTACTGTCAGCACAGACCAAAGTAGTATTACGAAAATGAAAGTATCACCAATTTCTTATGCTGAAATGTACGATGTGTTGCATACCTATTTACAAACAATTCTTTTAAATTTTAATCATTGATTGCTATACGATCTATTAAAAAATCATAATGGCCGACATCAGTAACAATGCGACAACAATTGAAAAAGAATGATGGCCGACAACTGCAACAATTAGAAAAGAATGATGGCCGACATTACGTCATAATGGCCGACATCAGTAACAATGCGACAACAATTGAAAAAGAATGATGGCCGACAACTGCAACAATTAGAAAAGAATGATGGCCGACACTACGTCATAGTGGAGTAAAAAAATGGGCGGGGGCAGGGGAAGAACTAGTTTTCAATTAAAATAATTGCTCACTGATGCATTGTACTTCGTTAATCCATTTAAGATCTTGCATGGTTGCTTCGTGCATTGAATAAACTGCCGCGACTACGAAAAGATGCATTATATTGTGGGAATTTAAACATTTATCCATATGTCCTGGAAACCATTTTTCTGGAATATGGAGAGCGCCAATAATCGCTCCTATCACAGCTATAAAATCCTACAAAACGATATATTTTCAGATACAAGACAAATGCTACAAAATGAGTTTGCTTCAAATCATACAGTGTATTATTAATTATTGCATTATGCATCTAAAGATCCAAGTAATATTAATTATTAATTGATGCAGGATTGATTTGAATTAAAATCACTGAATCTACTTGATTGTAGTTAAATAACTATGTTTGAATTACTTTACTCCGGGACAGCGCGTACGCAGTCCCGACTACCAAAAATTACGCGCCCGAGTTATCCACATTAGGGATAATCGCAGGGGTCAGCCCAACCGCAGTGCAATGGAAAGGCCTCACCCTGGGGGAACCGCCTTGTTGATCACGGTAACCCCTACGCCAGGTAAGTATGATTTCGTTTGCTTCGCCATCCTATCTCCTAAAATAACGATTTCCATTGCTTCGCGTATACCCGTTACTGCGCCATCTTCCGTTTTCAAATGTTTCTCATTGAGCACGACTACACACATAATGCCTTTTAGCATTACACATATTTCAATAATTCCCCAAAGAAAATTAATCTACTGACAATATACAGATTTTTATTTTATTTAACTCTAAAAGACATCATTGACTGGATTTCCCTCTTTTTACAATATTTAATCTGTTTTTTAATAATTTTACTTTGAACATTCTTAAAACCGCTAGAACATTTTTTACCCCTTCATGATACCCAAAATTAAAAAAAAAAAAAACTGAATCGAAAATGTTGATGATGACCAAAATTTATTAGCAACTATATTATTCTTCAATTTGAACAATTTAATTACCTGTAGTAAAAGATGCAAAAGTGCGTTTGGATCCCCGCCACCAAAGTGTAGAAAACGGAAACCACACAGTAAAATTCTTAAAGAAAATGGAAGAATAAAACACAACCTACGTTCCCATGGAGATATTGCTAACATTGCCTATGAAGGAAATAATTTAATATTTTAAAAAATAATCGAAAGAAAATTCGATGCTACAACGTACTTTATAGAGCCCCCAAAGTGCTACTAGGCAATAGAATGATATGCATAACCATTTTGTCAGTTTTTCAAAACAGTGACTAAAAGTAAACACCATCGGCATTGCCCCTAAAAATATTTAGGTAAAATTTGGATATTTTTTTTAATTTTGTATCTATCTTTTCTTCTTACCAATACTTTGACAAATCCATATTCCCAACATATCCAGCTGTAAAAGTCGGTGATAAAAATGCTGATCTCTGTTCATATTCATGAACAAATGATAAGTAAAACTACCTATCCATGGGCTGATAATTCCAGCAACGTGACACCATGAAAGAACTTGTAATTCTGAACTTGCCCAATTTGTTATTGAGGGTGTTTTTAGAATTATATATAGTATTGGCATACCTGTTATAAATAAAACGAAATATAAATAATACATTTATTAATTTCTAATTTGAATTTTATTATTTTTTTTTCAAGGTACAAGGCAAAAACAAATGAATACTCAAGAAAATTACTTAAAAAATGTGGCCAATAATTATAGTTTTATTTTCTGCTAAAATATTTTTTTTTCTGTTTTTTAAAGTCTTCTGTAGATCCAATTTTNTACAGCGTATTCTTAATAACTCGTTTTCAAAAGCTCTATCCCCGAGCTTTGATTATGACATGGAATATATATATATATATATATGTACATATGCATTTGCATAACTGTATGTAATAATGTAATGTAAGCTGATGATTCAATTATCCGATTTAGACTTTGCGGGGAAAACAAACGAGGTGCGACGTTTATTCCCATAATGATGAATCGTGTGTAGCACTAATTACTAATAAAATAATTTAACTATAAAATCTCTTAGGAATTTTTCAATCAGATAAATATCTTTCTAGCTCTAATACATATGCAAGTTATCCAGTTGGATTAAGTCTAGATAAAAAGAAAAAAGTTACAAGCAAGGCGCTTTTAAAAGTTAAATATAAAACGTAAATAAAAATTTAATAAGGTAGAAAAGTGAAATACTGATGTTTAACATATTTTGATTAAAGTCTTTTCGTAATTTTTCCTAGTTGCTATAAATTATGCTTTGTAGGTTTAATAAAAGTAAGGAAGTTGTGTGTTTACTTTTGACGTTATTTCCAAAAATAAATATTTACACAGTTCGCTCATTTAGAGCGCTAAAGTTGGCGTTCTATCCAATACAATGTGTATAGGTACTTAACATTTAACATAATTATTATCAAATTATTTAAGTATTTAACGCGTTATTGCTAATGTTTTAGTTTAGGAGACACTTACCATGAGTGACGATATTAAACGTTTCATTGTGTATGTAAAATAGACTGCGTATACAACCCCATGCTGATAGCATGGGTCTGTATCCTGTTCTTATATAGGGATTGAATTGCAAATGCACTGGCATATCTTTCCATTTAAGCAGTCGTATGTTTTTCTTTTTGTTTTCATCACAACTTTCTTTGGGTAATTTTTCTTGCGCGCTCGCTGGAAGACCTTTGTAGGTGAAATTGTTTTCTTCTTCTCCTTTTGTGGTACGTTTGTAAATCCTAGGATCTTCAAAAGAGCGGGGAAATCCTTTCCATTTGTAACCATCGGATAAATTGGAAACGAAAGATAATGGTACTGAATCTGGAGGGGTGCGGAAGTCACTTTCGGAAGTATCGGTACATTTTGTATTAGGGATTTCTGCTTGATCGTGATTTAGGGGTATTGCTTTCAAAACGGTTTCTTCGATAATATCTTCAAATTTCTTCTGCTGTAATTTTTATTTTATTATTTTTATGGAAATTTTAATAATAACCTACATTACATTATTTGAGTACTTACTGGTACTAGTTTTGTAGAACTATTTCTTTGGGATTGTTCTTCACTATTTTCTACTTGTTTAGTGGCACTTTTTATAAAAAAAAAATTGTCGCATTCCTTTTTTCCATTTTTAAGTTTAAGTATTTCTGTTGGATCATCTTGGATTACGTTATTGACGAGTGAAATGTTTTGGATGTGCTGAGTGATTTCTGAATTGCTGGCACACATTTTTTTGAAATTTATTGAAGAATTACCGAAAAAACACGTTTCTACCGTCACCTATACATCATGTGTGAAGCATCGTCAGACGTCACGACGGATGCGTCGCCGCAAGTTTCTCTCTCTTTTTATCAGTAGTTTTAGCGCATTTTACAATGACGAAATTGTGTGCTTGCGCCTGTTCAAGTATTGATTCTAAATGCAGCTTCATTGACTAAACTTTGCCAAGTACTATTAAAACACATGCAATATGTGTCAGGTACATAATTTTTCCTTAAGCTTAAAAATTACTTTACTTACATCTTACTTTTATCAGCAATTTTTTTTCACGTAAAATATCATTTTTATAAAAATTTTTGAGGTGTAAACGACACTGGATTTTCTAGTTACTGTTAATAATAATGTTATTACATTTCTTCATAATGGTTCTTACAAATTGCTCTTGTTTAAAAAAAGCACGTTTTACACTCCTCAGTTACACATATTTTCTAAATTTTAAACCATCTTTAACCCTGCTCCACAGTTTCTCATTTTGAGCCTTATATTTCCTCATTTTTCATCCGCTTTGTTTAACATAATCTAGAAACACATTCATGATATTCCTTTTTTGAAAGCTTTTATTTAATTTCTCTATTTTTGATACAACTTTTTAAATACACTGCCCTATTATGTCCGGTATTGTCTCTAAATAAGGATTTTTTTCGTTTCCTATTCCTTATCAACCTTTCGAGTCTACTATTTATTCAACCTTTCACTAATTTTACTAAAAATTTGTTCCTCTCCCCTTTTCTTCCATATTATTCGACAAAATTCCATTTCTTAAAATTTTAGTTACAGGATACGCAACTACGTTATGTTGGCTGCATACCTTAATAAGTTTTAGTAATTTATTAATGAAAAATAGAATGGGTGTTACTTTTCATTCATTATATTTCGTGCTTTATGAATGAACTTGGTTGTGTAATTTATTATACCTCCAGTAAGTTTTAGTTCTTGGTTGTTTCAGAAATATACAGCTCCTTTCACAAATCTTCCAATAGCAACGAATTAAACAAACGGAAATGGATAAAAAAATAAAGGTACTTAATTTATTTAAATAAATTAGTTTGTTTGTATATATTTCACACTTTCTTCTTACAAAGTTGTAGGTTTAAATGCTTTTCATAAAAAAATCACAATTTACTTTTATCAATTGGAGAAGAGCCTAAGTAATTTCATTTCAGATGTACAAAGTGCCATAGGTCCACTAAAAAAAAAATATTACTTAATATGTATACATGAACTACACATATATACATTAATAAAAAAAATCCTAATAGAGGATAACAAAGATGCAACTCTTTTTCTTTCAAAAAGTACCACAACATGGAAATGTTATAACAAATATTTTTGATTTGTATCATTAATAATTTTTCCGGCTGAAAAGAAAAAGCAAGAAGAGTTTCAGATACTTTGCTACAGGTGGTTGATGAAAATATCGTAGATAGAAAAGTTTGAAGAGATATTGAAAAATGTAAGTGGAGGAGCATGTGCAACTAATATTTGGAATGATGATGAATTTCGATCTTTATTTTTCATTGCATTCTTTTTACTTCAGGTAAATTTGCTAAGTGTCTTATCTTCATATTCTAAATCATTCTAATTTTATATTTAGACAAGCTCATATCTAATTACTAAGTCAAATAGTTCACGATTAGATAAAAGCGAAGAATGAGGAGAAATTGCATCTTTGGGTTGGTAGTGTATATACAAGAAAATTGGCCTTTTTATATGGTTTAAATGTATTAGAATAGAAATTAAAAGTTTATTACCTGTTGAATCTATGTTAGCTGCAGGAGCAGTTGCAGGAGTTTTATTAATGATTTCTTTTGCTTCTGGTACTGATATTTTAAAGGGATTTCCATCCAAGGTGGTGTTAACGCTGTAAAAATATATTGCTTATTAAAAAATTTATGATGAACAGTTGGAACATTTTTAAACCTACCAAGAAATGCCTTTGGCATCAACTTCCTTGTTTATCAATTGCTTCCAAAATCCATGGACCTATAAAATAATTAACTTTTTGATTACTTTGTGTAATTGCAATAAAAAGTAAAAACATTGGGTTAAAAAAAATTGAACATTGTTGTAAAAAATAGAATTAAAAACTACCTGTTCAACGATATTTAGGGCAAAAGCTGCTGGTTTAGCTTCACCGTTGAAAGCAAACTGATTCTCTGGTTTTCCATCCGGGACTTTGTAAATTTTAAACCATTCTATGGTTGCTTTTAAAAGTCCCGGAAAATGTTTTTCAACATCGTTTACATCGTTTACCTGATCCGCCAAGGGATCTGTAGCATCTATAGCCAATATTTTCCAGTCTGTCTCTCCTATAATTATAAAAAAATATCCTATATATTGGAGATATGAGATACAGAGATATAAAAGTAATACACAGTTTGTATAAATATAAATTTTTGCATGATGAAATCATTGTGCTACATTTTTGCTATTATCTATTGTGATTACATTACGTTTTTCATTAAAATGTAACATATCTTTCTTGATAACTACGATTGAAAACAAAAATTATTTATAATCAGTACTTAAGTGGTTGAATTTAAAAATTATGTTATAAATGCTCTAAAGGGAAATAAATGACTCTAGCTTTAGCCTCTCCTTAAATATTAAGTTGCAAGTTTATTAAAAAGCAAGAAAAGAAAACAGCATTAATTTTATATCAAGGTTAATAAATGAAAGTAAAAGTAACAGATAAGATAATTATATGCTTTACACAATTCCTTTACTCAAATTTACTTTTCATATTTGTTTGATTAAATACTAATTTAATTTACAAATTAACTTAAGTTACAAAATAATAAAAACTAATACAGTATTTTAGTATAAGAGTTAAGAGTAATAAATAAAAAATTATATTCACCTTCATCTATTAGGGCAATTGTCCCCAGAATTTTGACCTGTAATACCTCTCCTCTTTTAGCAACTCTATATCCAATTTCTAATACATCAATGGGATCATTGTCACCTTTACATCCAGTACCATCATCCAAATGTTCAGGATTTTCCCAAGTTTGAGGAAAAGCTCCATAATTCCATATGTAACCGTGGTGTGGAAAGCAGTTTGCTACAAAGCGAGGCTTGCCTTTTTTAACATCTTGTTTGATGGGGTTTAGAATCTCTTTCATAGTGATCTAAAAATATTTTGTTTTAAAAAAAATTTGATAGCAGGAAGCTAGCCAAAAAGGTCACTCTTATCAATAAAATTAGCAAAATTAAATTCCATTAGCTAACCTCCATTTTTGCATTTGTCCATCTGGGAATTTCCACAACCATATTGAATATATTTTTACTAGGATCTGGCTTTAAGGGTATATCGTGAAGGGCAGAAATTGGACCGTTTTGATTTTCTACAAAATTGAATGAGTAGTGTAAACAATACTTTCAAATCCGTTTGAAAAAATGTGTATACACATAGTTAATCTTTTTTTAGAAGTTGTAATCATGATATGATTTAAATTATTAGGTAAATATACAATAAGGAAGTGCCGGCTTCCTGATTATTTAGGCTACATGTAGAGTGTAAAGGTCAATTAAGACGAAAGTATAAGGTTAACTTACGTATATAAATCCTGTAGTCAGCAGTATAAGGTGCACCCCTTTCAATAACACTGTATGCCATTTTTGAAGATTCACCCGAAAAAAGCTTCCCCGAAATATATGACACAGCAGTATGTTCAATAATTTTCTTTGCACCAGCCGCTAGCACATGTGAAGCTGCAATAAAAGACATCGCGCCATCTGTTACTATTTAGAAGGAGTTTAATGTGGCCTTCTCAAACCTTGACCTTCAATAATGACGACACATTTTTAAATAAACAAACCTTTGATTAATTAATTTTTAACACTTACAGTAACTTTTAGTTGTAATTCTTATTGATTTTACTCTTGTATTTTCGATAGTTTTATGTCTACACTGATAAGAAGAGTTGTAGATAACAAGATTTGTAATATTTATTTGTATAGAGGTTATATAATCAAAGTTTTGAAGATTAGAAATATTAATTAATAGACTTCTTGCTTTTGGTTTAAATTTTGTTTATTTTAAATTGTAGACAAATTATTAAAATATTTTTATCAGTTTTTATCCAAGAAATGGTAATCGCATTAGGCAACCCTACGTATTGCTTTGTGATGCGTGGATAACTACATTCAAGACAGTTACGGCGCACAAATTTAAATTGAGGCAATATTGGGAAAACGTTTTTTAACGTGAATTATGGAAATTAATTATTCATAACATCAATGACTCTTTTCTACTAACCTTGTAATAAAAGTAACTGCTCTATTAAAACCCTACAAGGCAATAATCCCGAGGAATAAACTTTTTCCTTTAATATCCGACGAAAGAAACTTATTAGAAATGAGTAAAAAAACTAACCACGGAGTAATCTACTTTTTGTTGTTGTTATTGCTTTTAGATATTTTACATTTACATACTTTGCATACATGTTGAATTATTTTAAATTTCACAAGCGTCTATTTTGTGTTACCTAGCCTGTTTAATAAATATAAATAAAATCGCTATTATAAGTGTAAAATTCTTTTGATTACGGTTTTGTTACAATTAAACACTTCAGAAATCATAATTAAGTTGTTTTCATTATTTTGAGTGTTTGGTTTGTTTCGGAGTATCATTTATAGATACGTTTTATTTTCTATTTTCTGTCGTTATTTTACATCACAGTTGATACTTTAAAATCTATATGATACAGAAATTTGTAACTTGACATGGTAAGAAGTATTATTAAGCCATATATTTTTTATCATTTAGCTCATAAAAAATATTTATCATTAGTAAACGGTTAATAGAGACCGTTTAGCAGAAAACCTTAGGGATGATGTTAAGTTTTACAGTTCATGAAAAATTCATAAGAATATTGAAAGTAACAGTAACATGAGGCCTTAGATATTTATTAACAATTGATATTGAACTTGAAAAGGAAAAATCCTGGAGGTTGATATCCTATTCCTTCCACCAAAGGGCGGCATCATCTTTGAAAAATACATGCGTCGTAGCATAGGGAAAGTCCAAAGATTTTGAGAGTTTAGTTAGTTTAGACGAACTGATGCTGTTCTGATTCGGGTCTAAAGGTCGTCATGTGTTTTAGCTGCTTCCTAACGTTTCGCCAGTACGACTGGCGAGCTTCTTCAGAGGTCCTTTCATCTCCGAATCTGGATCTGGACAGTTCGGCTGAAGAAGTTCGCCACTCGTCTAGTGAAACGTTAGGAAGCAACCCCAACGCACTACGGCCTTTAGACTTGAATTAGAACAGCATCAGTTCACAAGCACGTAATCTCACATAACTCAAAACGTCGTGATAATGTTAATAAGTTGAAGACCAAACAAAAAATACGAGACATAGGAAAATTCAATCAAATGCCTTCAGTTATCTTATCGTATAGGTGACTTAGACAAAAATTTTCAGTCTCTCAGAGTCTTTCAGCGTCTCTGAGAGCGTCTTTCACAGTCTCTCAGTTATTGCCTAGGTGTTTTTATGGATCTCTCACAGTCTCTGTATGAGAGACTCCAACGATAAAATTGTTAATTCAGAGATTCGAGCCTCTTACAGAGAGACTGAATGAATAAAACTGAAAAATTGAGAGACTCGATTCTTTCGTAGAAAGACTGAGATCTCTGAAATATGTTGAACTTAGAAAATTTTAACCTTGTCTGTCGAGACACCATTTATTGAAAGATTCGAGTCTCTCGTTCAGAGATTCGAGTCTCTCGTTCAGAGACTGGATACGAAATGAGGATCTCTCTATGAGCGACTCGAGTCTCTCGTTCAGAGATTCGAGTCTCTCGTTCAGAGACTGGATACGAAATGAGGATCTCTCAATGAGCGATTCGAATCTCTCGTTCAGAGACGCTAAGCATTTTTTTTGACAGTCTCTCGACGGTCTCTCTTAGCGACACCAGAGAGACTCGATGAGAGACGGGGACTCGAATTTCGCTTTCGGAGACTCTGAGAGACTGAACATTTTTATCTCGGGTGTATAACAGAAGTGGATGGTAACCGCATACAGTATTTGGAAGGCTGCAACTAAATCCTTAGGAAAAAATGCATTCAAATGATAAATAAATACAATTATGAATACAATAGCTGACTGAGACTGATTCCAGTTTTATTAACATAGAACTGTTTTGTCAGTGGATTGTGCACTTTAGGAATTACACCAAACCATCAAGTGAACAAAATCCAGTCCCTTTAGTTCTTAATAATTATAGCCCTCATCATGATCTGGAAGCAATAATATATAGAGAGAAACATATCGATTTATTAACATTGCCACCACATGCAACATATAAAAAGCAATCTCTTGATTTTGCCATCTGAAAGGAGCTTATAGCAGGGGGTGTGACCACTGGATGGTAAAGAACTCAGGGAAAGTTATAATTCAAATGGAAGTTGACGGATTTTATTCAACGCTGCGTACGTAAAGGTCGCGAATATCCAAACGGCAGAAAATTTATTTAGGGTTTATTTTCGGCATCTATCCATTCAACCCAGATTTGTTTCAGATACATGGTGACAGATACATCCACGGAAACCAGTTAGTGTCCTAAAAGCTTTGAAGAGACTATACAACTCAATATACTTGCTAGAAATAATCAGCAGTCTACCAAGCAAATCAACAAATCTCACCCAAGTTCTACTTTAGGACATCATCAATTTTGGCATAGTGATTACTAGTAAGTAGATAAACAAGTTCCTATATATGCGTGGATTTTATATTTATGAAGCTTTTTTGGACCACGTTTGTAGTTTTCTTTGAATTTCTTGAAAAAGAAAAGAAAAAGTATTCGTACCTATCCGTTATTCGGAGAAAGTAACCGTATCTTCTATCCAATATCCGAATTCAATTCTGATGTAAAGTAACATATGTCCAATAAATGCAGTTTCAGGCTCTTGAAGGGTGTTGCGCTTTGTTCAAAAGATTTTGCGAAATTCGGTTAGTTTAGAACAACTTTCAAAGAAACTGGAGATATTTTCAAATAGATGTGGTTGGAAAAATTTGTTCCCCACATCGCATGCTTATTTTCTCCTCTGGTATGCATATTATTCTTCAGAACTCCTTGGCCAGGAGGTGAAATTTTACTAGATAAGCAATTTTGTAATCATCTTCATCGAGAGATGAATCCCAGAAGTACTGGATTTTGCATCTTCAAATAAAAACATCGCATAATTTTGAATTAAGCAAAACGTATTGGGTTATGTGAAGTCGAATGCTTGAGGTTTTAAATTTTACGTTTTATCTCTATATTAGTTTAGGTAAAATATTCAGCATATGAGCCAAAATTTTCATCTCGGACTCGGACCACCCGCAGTTATGTAGTTAACTATGCATGATGATTTTTCGATTTTTCATTTTCTATCTTATTGAACCTCACGTTTCTAGTGCTGGACACCTAGTAGGTATAAAATAAATGCATAATGAGATACATTTACCACTTATGTTTCTTTTTGTTTTTGTTATTATTTTTTTTTTAATTATTGCGACGTCGTTTATATAATTCTACTAAAAAACACGTTTTACTCAAAGCTTATGCTTAACCATGTTTAAAAGGTAATTTAAGTAATTACGATTGTTTCCCCAACAGCCTCTCGCTACCTTGAGATGTATAGTGAATGAAGTATTTAAATACAGAGTGATATTAAGTAATCAACAGTTAAAGATTCTAATTATTATCTATTAGGCGCATCGTAAATGTACGAAAACCTTGCATAATGTAGCAAGTCATTTTCTTTCCGCTAGTTAAATTGTGTGCTATATTCGTTATAAGTCGCAACTTGTGGTTACTTATTAGTGATTTTGTTCGATCGAAATAATTACGAGATTGGGAAAGGAAGGTCATCAATTCAAAATACATGAAATTGCCAATTTTTAAATAATAAAAAATAATCACTTAATTAATTATTTGTATTTTAAATACGTATAATACTGTCATGTATTTAAACATCTGCTCAGATTATTACTACTTTTATTTAACTATTCGCTGTCTAATTAACACTTCTATCATTAATTAGTTATCAGGGGCCGAAAACCCTTGATTAGGTTTCATATTAATGATATGAGGGAAGAACGCCAGGATAATGAGATTTTCGTAAAAGGAAATTGTTCTTCGAGACTCCTGGTGGCGAATTTATCGTTCCAATGCAGTAGAGTAATGTTTATTGTTATTTTTAAATAAAATTGGAGGAAAATTGGTGGGTCTTCTGATTTTCTGCCTCCTTGAAAATGCGAACTGCATATTTTTCCACATATCGTTGGTAATATTGACAAAGATTGGTACTAGATATGCTTCTCTAATCCATAAAGTTTGCCACCAGCGAGAATATTTGACAATTTGCGATGTATTCATTATGCTTGTATATTTTTTGTAATTAATTAACCTAATATGGATATTTGGTAAATTTTCTTTTGATTTTCCACCTTTTTACCATTACAAAAACTTTCAAACTACCTTTCAATTTTTCTGCACCTTAACCAGATTGTCTGTATAGGGTCCATGAAAATAGATGATCTTGTGCGGTTTGTATTAGAGTCTAACGTAGAAAAGATATTTTGAATAAATAAATAAGAGCTTGTTGTCTATTTTATCGAAATTGGAGGATTATGATGGTATAATCGTCAAACTGTATTGTGCAAAGTTTAAGTAAATTTCTGCTGGATCTTCTGCTTTTTTCATAATTTTATATTTAACAAGTGGTGAAATAAGAGAGTTTATTACGTGTACATTTTCAGAAACAGCTCATTAAACAAGTAGTCCAACTAATAACACCTTTTATGGTAAAAATTTAAAACATCCTGATCCATAAAAATAAAAAATGATCAGAATGAAATGTGCAATTTATAGGTATGTTCGGTTAACGTATTTCTCTGCCTGTATACGTAGATATGTATACTTTAAAAACTATAAGTAGTAGTGTTTTAGGTAAATATCTAGATGATGGACCCCCTTCCCCAATGGGGTGGGGTGGGTGGGATCGAAAAGAGCAGGTCTCCCCCACCAGTGTACTATAAAAAGTTCGTGGCGGTCTCACCCCCATAAAAAGTTATTGGGGGTAGATGGGGGTGGGGGTAGGGGGTCGAAAGAGGGTAGGG